GTCAGAGCACCCCCACTATTCTAACTGGTGGCATCACCATGGCTGCGGATGATGATACTACAGGTAGCAACCATAATATTTGGGTATTAAATATTTCTGGCATTTACTATTTTGTATCATCAGAACAGGATAATATAGCTTATATACAAATGGATTAAAACTGCTATATGGGTGGAAAAGACACTGATGTTGTGACAGTATGAGGGCAAGAGAAGGGGACGACACAGGATGAGATGGTTGGACAGTGTCATCGAAGCTACCAATGTGAGTTTGACCCAACTCCGGGAGGCAGTGGAAGACAGGAGGGCCTGGCGTGCTCTGGTCCATGGAGTCACGAAGAGTCGGACATGACTGAACAACAACAATGGGTGCTGAACAGGAATTATTGTAGAGCTCTTTTACAGCTGTCCTTGTAAGAACCTCCTAGTCAGTTTCTAGCAACCCTGCTGGACAAATCTAAGTGGAAAAATACAAGGCAACCATCTGTTTTTCTCATGGAGAGAGTTCACATCTGGAAGTCTCTTGTTTATGAAGATACAGCTGTAGCTTCTGAGCTTTCTAAAGTTGCTTGGTAACACCTGTTTGTAGCTTTTCAGTCTGATTGTTGCCTTTATCTTCGACAACTCCTCTTACACTACTAAGCTCCTTTGACTTCTATTATTCAATCTAGACTGAAAAATCCACCAGTCTATAAAACACATTAGGATTAGGGCATATCCAGTCTTCCCATCCCGGCTACGCAGTTCTAAGCGACATGTTATTGGTTACTTTTTAAAGCCTCAATTTGAAGCAAGAGGTGAAAAAGAAATACTGAGATAGAAAATGGAGAGAAAAAGTAGACCTTAATACTGTAAAAAGGTTCTATGCTTCAAGGATTCACAGTGAGGTGTAGTGGAAAGAATGACGAACTAGGACTCTCAAGATCAGGGCTTGAATCTCCAGTTGACCATGGAAACTCACTGGGGAAGTGGAACTGGTAAAACCTCTCCTTAAATATCTCACTTCCCTTGAAAACCCCATAATGGTCGCTATACATCGGCTCCGACTTTTCAGCACAGAACACACATGCCACAAAAGAAAGGCAACCTTTTGGTTTGGCCCAAATCCACGCTATTCAGTAATGTTTGCTTCGCCGGTCATTCCTTCCACGGCAAAACCGGCCATCCCTTAAGGACTGCTCCGTCCCACTGCAAACGGCGATGCCATCTGCTGGTTATGCAAAATTATGGCTCCGTTTCAGGCTTTTTGACCAAAACCGAAATCTAATCCCCGGCCCCGGCCGCCAGGCGAACGGGCCGGCTGCAGCCGGGAACAACCTGCCATCCTGCCCTAAAGGTTCACGAAGTAGCGGTCAGTGATCAGAGAGACCCACCCGAGCCGCTGCTCAAGCCAGCAGCCTGTTTGTTCCCCACAGGGGGCTCGGACGGGGGGGGATCCCGTCCGCAGGGCCGGCTCTACCAGTTGCGAAGCCGCAAATTGGAGGTGGCGGGAAAGGGCTGCGACTTGCTGCCTCTGAACGTGTCAGTGGCGGGGGAGAAGGCGCTGGTGGGCCACCCTCTCTGCCTCAGGTGCTGAAGCACTCTGGCCTGGC